AGTTGCATGGTTCTGGCATAGGAATATCACACAAAATAAAAACATATATGCTCCCGTAACCTACAGACACCCTCCAATTTAATGTGTAGTCCAAGATAATCCATCCAATATGGTCCAGAGAAGACAAGGGACTGATGGACATCCATGTTTTGGATGCCCATGGCGGGGAAAGTAGCTTCTAAGGACATCTAGTGGCTAGAAAGAACCTTCAATTTCCCTGCCATACAGAGCACAGCACCCCGATTCTCTGGCTCAGGGCTCAAGTATCTTCAGTGCAGAGGTTGAGAGGCCCTAGTCTAAGCACACACACACGCACACCCACACACCCACACGCACGCACGCACGCACGTGTGCGCACGCCCTGAGTGTTCTTCGCCTCAGCCTTTTTCTGGACTTCTCTGGAGCCTCCGCCTCAGCTGCATGCAGCCCAGCCCAGCACCAGGGTCACCACCCAAGCTAAATCACCAATTGCCCATGATGGTGTCTCTAGGGTTGCTCTCCCCTGCCCATTAGAGAAATAAGTCTGACTTGGAAAGAGAACACCTGCCAGCTCCATAGCCCATTCTAGCAGGGCAAGAAGATATTCAACACAGCCAGTTTAGGGTAGATTCCAGCTCAGCCACCAGATGGCAGTCCAACCCACCAGGAACACAGAGGCTCCTGCCCTGGGAGAGCGGTACAGACCCTGTGCCAACCAGGACAAAGGCCTGAGGGGTTGGACTTTGGCCAGTTCCTGAGCCCAGCAGGACTAGACCTAAGGCCTGCAGGTGCCAGGTGTGACAACATAGGTACAACTTGGCTTCAGGTGTCCCCTCAGATTTTTCTACTTCCCAGCCAGGCCAGTTCATCCTTTGGCCCAGTTATTCCCACAGGGGTCTTTCTGTATCCTAGCACTCCTTCCTCTCCTGCCTGAATGAGAAAAAAAAAACCCAGAGCAGTTAAGGACACAGGGAGGAGTACTACTCCCATGTAATTTTAAGCCCCTGAAGCGCAGGGACGTTGAGAAGCTTGTCTGATGTCACAGTTAGTCAAAGGTGGGCCACTAGAGATTGGAAGCTAGGCCGTCTGCTCTAATTCGTGCTCAGAACCCTGGGATGGGACAGACCATCCCCAACCAGACACAGCTACCAAAGGCATTTTCATACAGGACTGTAAGCCTCCCTCGTGAGGGGCAGGCAGCAATAAGGTTTAGTATTTCTGAGGAAGAGGCTGGGCTTGGTCAGCAGTTTCTCCTCTCCATGCAAACTTGGTTTCTCTGTTGCTTGTTTTAATTTTTTCACGTGTTTTCATCTTGCTTCTCTAGGCTTTCTGCAAATGTCAGCCTTCTCTTGGTGTCAAGGGGAGGTGAAAGAAGAGACATTTATGTCCTTCTTAGGGCCCACAAGAGGGAGTGCTCCTTGAAGCCTAGGACCAGAGGGTGTCACCAGGGATCAAAGTGAGAATTTTAAAGAGGGGCCCTTAGGGGGGATCCCCAGTCTGCTTACCTCTTGGGAGTATGCTAGACCCCCTTTCCTGTGCCTCTTCCTCCAGTCCGGCCACAGCCCAGTCTTCTGGCACTAAAAGTCCTCACTACCTAATTTTCCCCTATGAGGAGTTTTTTCTCTATCTCTCCAAGACCCGATTCCTTCTCTCCCTGCTTCTCCCCATATCCAGGTCATACTGTGGCTGCCCTTAGTGCTCACCATGAAACAGGGTCAATTTGGAGCCCAGTACCTACCCTCCGGAGACCTTTTGTAAGTACCCATTCAGGACTCAGCCTCAGTTAGGGGGTCTAGACATCCAAAGTCTCTGAAGCTGGAGTCTAGGGTCCCAAATCCATTTCTAGCATTTCCCCAATCACCTAGACTTCAGTGAGGGCTTTCTGTGTTTAGGGTTAGTGGAGAGGGGCAGAAGCGGCCCCAGAGGCGCTGGCAGTCCTTTGACAGGAGTGAGATGAGCCAGAGAGACATTTGGAGAACCAAGCTCTGATCCTAGGTGGCTTCACAGACAGGGAAGAGGGTGGCTGCCTGAGCCCCTGTGGCTGGTTCCTCAGTTTTCCTGAGGAAGAGGCCCTGGATCTCTATCTGGGAGGGAGGTCCAAGGAGGCCTCTTTCTTGGAGCTCATCTTGACCGCTCACAGCTGAGTCTGTATGTGCCCTTGTCTCCACACACATTTTTTTTTTTAAATCTCGCTTCTGGTGTCTCTGTGTCTTTGCCTATCTATCAGTCCTAGGGGTGGGCAAAGCATCCTGAGAGCCTGGATCCTGGAGATGTGAATTGTGGCCAGGCCAGAGTGCACCACACTCGACCTCCTTGTGGTCGGAGGATGGAGCTGACACTCGTCAGAGTGAGAAGGACACTGAGAACCGCTCTCTCTGAGACCCCTCTGGAGGAGTCTCCTTAGACCCCTCCCCCTTTGTCCATCCATTTCTGCTCTCTTCTGATAACTCTGCCTCTGACTCCACCACTCACACCTAGTCCTGAATCTCGCTCCTATCTCCACCACTCACACCTAACCCTGACTCTGACTCCACTATTCACACCTAGTCCTGACTCTGACTCCACCACTCACACCTAGTCCTCACTCTTGCTCCTATCTGCCTGTCCACACCTTCCCCCATGACATGCAGACCTTGTCTTAGGGCCGGGATCCCCATGATCAGGTGAGAAGAGATGTCTGTGGCACAGCTTTGTCCCCAGGCTCACAACAGTGCCTGTGGGTCAGTACAGACAGTTGTCTGTACAGTTAGCAAGTGCCAACAAGTAAATAAGTCTCTTGTTTCTTAGGTAAATCCCCTTTACCAGGGCAGCTTGTGCTTGATTGCAACGGATGCCAATCAATGAGCACCTTTCACACAAGAATAGCCTCTGGAGCTGGACCTGACCTTCTAATCTCTCTCAATTCCACCTGCCCACTTCTCCTCAAAAGCTGGGAGCCCCTGGAGGTCAAGAGTAGGTCTGATTTGTCCCTTGCGGCTTTGTGACTTGTACAGAAACTGGAACGAGTAAGGAATGAATGATGTTAATTGCTGATTAAATAAACCACCGAGGGATGGGTGGCAGGCACGAGCCGGGAGGACTTTGAAGTCACAAATATAATCTCTGTTCCCAGCATCAACTTCGAATCTGGAGGACCCACAGCCCCTAGCCACACTGGCTCACCACCCAGGGCAGCTAAAGCTGTGTGGCGGAGTGGGGCTGTTAGCATTTATAGAGCCATGAATTACCTCTTTTCATAAGGTAATTCAGGTTACTGGGTAAACTGAGATCTATGGAGTTCACACCTAGTCCTGAATCTCCTTACAGATTCAAAGGGATTCAGAGGCGCTCAGAATTAACCACTAACAGAGAGTTGGGATAGGGGGATGATGAGAAAGATACTTTCTTGCAGTCTGCGGAAGAAGCTATCTCTGGAAGGATCAAGGGGCCTTCAGGTTCCCTGGGAAGGATCGGTATTAAGAGATTCCTTGAGAGGTCAGTACTAGTCCTGGTCAAGGAATGGCTTGCCTGCTCAGAGGATCAGATGGCTCCTGGGTTAGAAGTAGAGAAGCTGGCCGACGCCCTTCTCACCTCGGTATGACCCGGGGGCGCGGGTCCAGACGTCTCTGTGAGCCTCCGCCCAACTAGTGGAGCTCCCCGAGGGCGGAGCGTCGGCGGGTCCCCACTGAGCAACATGCAAGGAAGGGCGGGCGCCCCCAGTGCCGGGGTTGAGGGAGGCCGGGTTCGGTGCGGGCCTAGGAGGGGGGCGCAGAACCAGGGCTTTTTAGGACCCAGCGCGGCGCCTCCCTCCGGGGGCGAGTGCGGCTGCGCGCGCCGTGTGCCCGTGTCCGGAGAGCCGCGGGCTGGACGCGGACCGCGCGAACGAGCGAGCGAGCAGGCAGCGGAGCAGCAGCCCGGAGGCAGCAGCGGCGCGGCGGCGGCGGCAGTGGCCGCTCTGCACCTCGCCTCCCTGTCCTCGCCAGCTTCGCTGCGCCGCGCCCGGACCTACCACCCCCGCCTCTCGGGCCCGACCTCGGCAGCGCCCCTCGCCTCGGCTGCCAGCGCCACCCGCCCTCCCGAATCAGGGAGCGGAGCGCAGGGCGCAGAGACACCGGAGCCAGTGTCCGCCGGCCCCACCAAGCAAACCCGGCCCAGAGAACCTTCGCTTGGCCCTGCGCGGCTCCGCAGCCGTCCGGGAGCTGTCCCTTCAGCACCGCCGCGGAAACCCGAGTCCCAGCGCAGCCCAGCGGAACCCCTGACCCAGCCCGAGCGCACCAGGCGCAGCGCTCAGCGGCCGCCCCGCGGGGCAGCACCCAGGTGCCCCAGCCCAAGGGACCCGCCATCTCCTCCGGGAGGCGGGGAGAAGGATCGAGGAGGGCGGGCGGGCACCTTCACCCGCCACCGAGGGGAATAAGCAAGCAGCCAGGCAAGAAAAGCCGAAGGGGACCAGCCACACAAGGAGGAGAGCAGCCTGCATCCGTCCCCACCGCACCGAGAGCGCGCTGCGGCGACCACCGCAGAGCCGAGCGCGGATTTCCCGCCCCCCCCCCCTCTTATTTCCCGTGCTGGGGCTGGTCTATTGGTCCGGCCCCCGGAACGGAGCAGCTGACCTTCCCCTAAAAAGCTTTGTGTCGGTTTCACCATTTTCCCGCTGAGATGGTACCGGGAGCCCGGCCCCCCCACCCTTTCTCGCCTCCTCCCGGGGCTCGCCGCTGAGCGCCGCCCCACATCCTTCCTTCCTCCCCCCTCTTCTTTCCCTCTTTCCTCTCCTCCTCTGCCTCCTCCGCAGCCAGGCCAGCTCCCTCTCACATTAGGTGCCTTAGAGACCCTTGGGAACCCACGCACACACCCCTGGACCGTTACCTGACTGCCAGCTCCCCTCGAGAGAGCTTGAGTCGCTCGTTGGGGTGGGAGGCCAGAGTCGCGGTTCTCTGTGCCCCCCGACGGCTGGGGGGAGGGGGGAAGAGGCCCTGCGCCCCCCTCCCCGTCGCCAACTCCCCCTGGCGGCAGCTCCCATGGGTGTCGCTGGGCCGCGCCATGCCTAAGGGGGCGCCGCGATGGGCCAAGGGGACGAGAGCGAGCGCATCGTGATCAACGTGGGCGGCACGCGCCACCAGACGTACCGCTCGACGCTGCGCACGCTGCCCGGCACGCGGCTTGCCTGGCTGGCGGAGCCGGACGCCCACAGCCACTTCGACTATGACCCACGCGCCGACGAATTCTTTTTCGACCGCCACCCGGGCGTCTTCGCTCATATCCTGAACTATTACCGCACCGGCAAGCTACACTGCCCGGCCGACGTGTGCGGGCCGCTCTACGAGGAGGAACTGGCCTTCTGGGGCATCGACGAGACGGACGTGGAGCCCTGCTGCTGGATGACGTACCGCCAGCACCGCGACGCCGAGGAGGCACTGGACAGTTTTGGCGGCGCGCCCCTGGACAACAGTGCCGACGACGCGGATGCCGACGGCCCCGGCGACTCGGGCGACGGCGAGGACGAGCTGGAGATGACCAAGAGACTGGCGCTCAGTGACTCCCCAGATGGCCGGCCTGGTGGCTTCTGGCGCCGCTGGCAGCCGCGCATCTGGGCGCTGTTCGAGGACCCCTACTCATCCCGCTATGCGCGGGTAAGTGACAGCTTATCCATCAGAAAGACCTGACCCGGAAAGGCAGCCTTTGCCGCTTCCCGCGGGCAGTGTGCAATGGACAGTGAGTGCCCAGAGAGTTCTGTACTGAAGCTGGTGTGTACGTGTACGTGTGTAAGAGAGAAGGGGTGATTTTACCATTGTGACTGGGTTTGTATACATGAGTCTGTATTGCTGGTTGTATGAGAGCATATGAATGGGTGTTTGTGTGTCTGCTTGAGTAGACTGTGCGTGCATATTTATGTAAGTATCCTGGTGTGTATTTGGATGGGTAAAGATTGTGGGAACAAGTGAGCATATGTGTATGTTTGAACGTACATGACACGTCACACTCCGGTTACTGCCCTTCCATGCCTTTAGCAGATGCACACTGTGAACGTGTGAATTGCCCTTTGGTTTGGGGGAAGTGGGGAACTCCTTCCTTCTTCCCAGGTCAGGAAGCCTCTGGAGTAGAAAGGTGTCTTAGCCTGCAGGGAAAATAGAGGCAGGCAGCCCCTCCCTCCCCAGGGACCTTCCTTAAGCCATTTGAGGAGGTGGTCTTGGGAATGCCCGTAGCTAATTAATAGCTCGATGGTTGGTGTGGGTCTGGGCTGGGGGTGGGGAACAGAGAATGGCAATCTTGCTGACACCTGCCCTCCTGGGTCTGGGAAGAGCCTGGGGGAAGAGCTTAAGAAGGCCATAACCTCCTGCTTCCTCTGGCCCCTGGGAAGAGGCTAGCAGAGAGGAAAACCTTAAGGGGAGTTGTACCCAGAGGAAGTGTGTGAAGTGGGCGTGTCTTCCTCAGCCACACCCCTTTAGAAACATCAAATTGTTACTAGAGAGAAAAGACACCCTGTTGCTGACCTTGGCCCTTTAGATTTGGCCACCTCGGATTAGTTTCCTGTGTAAAATGGGGAGAATGGTGAACTGTAGGGACCATTTGATGGACCATCTCCCCAAAAGAGACTCCACAGAGACACCTACCCTGGAAGACAAACTGTGGGTCTTTCAGAACTCCGTTCCCCCTGCTGCCGAGTAGCAATGGGGAGGATGTGTAGAGTGGAAATTTGAAGCAGCCCCTCCCCCATCTGTAAGGCACCTCCGCCCCTCCCAGGCAAAACTCTGCTTCTGCCCAGCTGCCTTTTCTTGCTAAAGGTCCCTTCTCTTTTGCTGGCCTGTGGGGGAGGGAGCATGAGGAGGGATTGGAATCCACAGAGGGTCAGTAGACAAAGAAGAGTTGGGGGAGGGGTCTCAGGTGCCCAAGAGCGAGAAGGGCTGTCTAGGCAGACACCTGACAGATCTGATGCTGAGAGAAAACAGAAAGACGTGTGGGGTGGGGACAGCTCTTCAAAAACTCTGCCTTGAATCCTAGACCAGGTGCTGGGGTAGGGATGGAGAGAGAGCACTTGGCCTCGCACATCAACACTGAGGAGTTTGGCCAAGGTCAACCTGAAAGTAGGGGGCCAAGTAAAACTTGAATCAAAGTCTCCTGGACTCTATTCTCCCCTGAGCTGGCCACTGGCTCCGTTTTCGTCCAGGGTGGCCTGGGACCCTGTAGAGGAGGCCTGTCTTCTTTCCTCCTCTCCTTCATGACAGAGACCACTACGGCTGGAGGATTATGTAACTAGAGGCCATGCTGAGCTGTGAGGAAGGGCTGGAATGTGGGACTGAGAGAATGAACCAGTATAGGCTGGGAGAGAGATGCCCTGCCTGCCAGGCTAGGTCAAGGCCTGAGTTAGAGCAACCTTTCCACTTACATTTGACCTTGACCCCTGGAAGGTAAGGCCAAGCAGGCCCAACTTCTCTAGGGTACTGGCAGAGGGCTGGGCCCCTCCGGCCTGCCACCTTGGACTCTGCTGGTCAGTGTACCCATGTTTCAGGGCAGGTGAGGGTCGGTAGGGTGTATTCCACCCGCCACACTTTCTCTTCCCACCCACTAGGCTGTGGGGTGGCCTTCGCTCACTGGAGACAAACAGAACACTTAAGGACAGCTTGAGGTCAGTTTAAGACCACAAGGCTAAGCCGAGAAACTCTCACATGAGTGTCCACTGAAGAGCAGATGCAGGGACAATCTGGAGAGTTAGCAGGGGCAGGTGGGGTATTGGGGTACAGGTGAGTGTTACTAGGTCCCCCCTGAATAGCAGTGAGACTTTCTCTGGTAGCCTCACGAAGAGGCTGTAGTCCTTTTTCACTGGTATGGGTACCACATGAGGGCACTGAGACCCACAGAGGGAAGGAGACCTAAAGGGATTAGAACCAGGCTCCTGCTGCCCACCCGCCTGCCTGGCCAGCCTAACTGCATTGCGCTGCCTCTCTGCAGCCCCGCGCAGAGACCAGCCCGCTGCCTGCCTCCTCCCCCCTTCCATCTTCCCTCTGATGCTGCCCCGCCGTTACCTCTGTTTACTCCTCCCCCTCAGCCTGGAAAAGGCTTCTCAGATAGGTGGGTCTGGGTTTAGCATTCATTTTTTTTCTCTAGATTCTACACCTGAAATCTCATGTGTGATATAGTCTGTGTGTGTGAAATAAAAACTAGAAAAGCTTGTGTGTGAGAGACTCCTCGTGTGCAAGAATAAAAATGTTAGGTGAGTGTGACTCTGAGGACACACACGTGTGTTGCTGTGTGTTCAAATGTGTGTGTGTTGACACCATGAGTGGAAGAGAGATCCTTGTGTCAAAGAAACTGGATAACTGGATGTGAGATTGTCTGCATGTTGGTAGAGGGTGTGTGTGTGTGTGTGTGTGTGTGTGTGTGTGTGTGTGTGTAGAGACCTGTGAGAGAGAACTGTGTAATAAGACAAAAAGAAGATGCATGTGCAAGAGATGCTGCATGTGAGAGTCCAGGCCAGTGGATCTCTGAGGGATGTGTGCGCAGGTGTGCAAGTGTACATGTGAAGCTGTATCTACGTGTGAGCCTATGTGTGTATATTCTGTGTGACAGAGTGTGTGTGGCTATGTGTAAAGAGACGGCGAGGCCCCATGTGTGACAATGTGTGTTTTGTACGAGAGGGATTTTTGATGCGTGTCATTGTTGCTGTTAGAGCTTGTATGAGAGAGATTGTGTGGCCTGGCTGTGCCTGGAAGAAGGTGATATTCGTAGGTTCCTGGGACTCCTGGGCTGTCTGGCTAAGGAATATCCTTGCATTCCATGCCTCAGAAGATGTGTGCCCCAGTCGGGCCTGATGTGGATGTGTGGGCCAACAGCGAGGTCACTTTCCCCCAAGGAGCTATCAGGATGTTGGCTGTGGAAGACAGGAGCTCCTTGGTTGGAATATGACATCCTATTGGAGCTGGCCAGGACAGCTAGTCCCCTGCCCTTTCAGAGTGGGGGCTGGGAGTGAGGAGAGCTGGGCAAGTTGAGTCCCACTTGTAATCTGGATTCGGGGGTGTTGCAGCCTCAGACACACAGAGGTATGAGTGGTGATGTAACTTTGCGGATGCGGGGATGAAGCGTTCTGGGATAAGCTGCCTCCTGAGGTCACACTGGACGGGCCCTGAGGGGCAAGCCGATGTTGGCAGGCAGAGTAAGCGCGTGCAGTTCTTGTATGGAAAGTTGCAGAGGTGTGGGAGCAGGTGTCTAGGACTGCTCTCCTCACCTCCTGAGTGTCAGCTGAGGTCAGGGTCCCTAGGTCTTTGTCTGTGATTTACATGTCCGCAGGAGCATTGTTCAGTGTCATATCAAGGCCGGGATGGTCTCCAGGCTTCTGGCCAGGGAATGTTCCAGATATGTGTGTGTGTGTCAATGTGGTGGCTTCAGTCCCCTCAGGTCACTTGGCCTGATAATGCCAATGATCGCACCGCTGGGGAAGCCTCACCTCAGTGTGCTCTGCTGTTCGTCTCTCCTCTGACTCCATCTTTCTTGGCCTCTCGGCCCTGCCCCTTAGTCTTTGGGGCATGTAGCCCTAACTCTTCTTAGCTCTTTGGGGAGAAGGTCACCCAGCGCTTACAGTGAAGAGCCCAGACAAAGAATTCTCTTCCTTCCCTGGGGCCCACTTCCGAGACAACTCTGTGAGCCCAGGCTGTGACATGAGGCAGACGGAGCTATTAACAGGGACTTCTTAGGAAGCTCGTTCCTGCCCAGGACAGGCCATACCAGGAGATATGGTGGCATGTAATGGAAGCCCATGGCAGCATGGCCCAGCCGGTCACTGTGCTTTGCCAGGAGTCCTTGTATTTTTTTTTATTGTGCCTCCAAGCCCCCAAGGCCCTTTCGGTAAAGACAACCACAGACTAGGTATCTGGTAAGTTGGAGTCCTTCAGCCCCACCACTGATGAGCCGACTTACTGGGATGGACTTACTGGGATGACTGACCATAGAGGCTCGCATAGAGCGTCTCTGAGGTAACCATGGGTGACCACAGGCCGGAGGGAACAGGAAATTTGGGCTGCTATTGAGGCCTACATGCTGTTGGTGTTCCTGTGTGTCTTACCTCACAACCATCTCTGAACTTCATCGTCTCCTCTATCATCACGGCTACCACTGTGCTTCCAACCACCATGGCTCCCTCAGGCCTACCTCTTCAGCAGGCTCGAACAATTTTTCCCACTCTAGTCCCAGGTCCTTCTAGTCCATTTCTCCGTTTGGCACACGTAAAGGCCTTTTCAACTAAAAACACTGGTCGGGTTACCAAAGCCTGCAAGGCATCCCAGGTTCATTCTGGGGCCTCTTGGATCCAGCCCAACTCTCCAATGTGCTCTTGCCTGACTTTAGTCACCCATCACGGAATGATTGTCTGACCTGGCTTCGTTGCTTACAGTTGCTAGATCGTGGCCCATTCCCCCCCCCCCCCCCCGAGGACTCTTTCTTCCTAGTTCATTCCCCTATCTTTGCTCTTCACACCCACCTAAAAAGAAGCTCCTTAGTGGTATCCTTCCTGGCCCTGATAGACTGGATCAGGATTCAGTCCCAGGGTCCCTCCCTTCAGAGCAACAATCTGATCGGTAGTTGGGTGTTCGTGAGAAGCCTTACTCAATCCAGGGTTATATTGTCCAGGTTCTAAACTTCC